AAAATCCAGTTCTCCAATGGAAGATGTTTTTGAATAATTTTGGAAGAAAAAAAAGTGTGATTTTCGGACCGCAATGTTGAGCAACAGAAGACTTCTGGTTCCTTTTTTCTAAAATGCCTCATGTCTTGCGAATTCACCCAACATTATTAATCAAGCAGTTAAAAATTCTCATCTCAACACACAAAAAAGCCACACTCTTGTTTTAGGAGATTATAAAAATTCCTGTTGCCATTCCCTTCTTTCCATCAATTAGCTATAAAGTTGCACATATTTAACTTTCGGGTTGTTTATTCTCCCATCAATAAAATTCCGACTTCTATACTCAAGGACCCCATTCCGGATATGAATTCCTGGGGTATTTATAGGATTCCTTGCCAGTTGTGGTTTAATTTACATTGGCCAAACTAAGAGAGCCTTAAAATTTCGCGTCAAAGAACATGAGGCATATGTTAGAAAAAAGGAAACACAGAAGTCTTCTGTTGCTCAACATTGTTGGTCCGAAAATCACAACTTTCAATTTTTCTGCTGCCAAAATTATTCAAAAAACATCTTCCATTGGAGAACTGGATTTTCTAGAGGCATTTCACATTCAAAAAAATCTTTCTGTTCTAGTTAATGATCCTAATTCCAATCCAAATTTGCCTTCGGCCTTTTAAAGAAATTATGTTTTAGTTCTGGTTTCTTCAACAGATGGCGCCACTTGCTTATTCTTGTCCAGGCTTTCTTATCTTATCTAATCATTATTTCTTATCTTGTTCATTTGCTCTTTTGCAGCTGAAGATGATGGTTCGGTAAAACCATCGAAACTAGTCTGTGAAAATTGTTTATAACGCTGATTTTTGTTGTTTGACTTCTGAATTAGAATAACATGACTTACCCAATGATGCATGCATGAGCCGAATATTTTCTTTTTTCAATCTCATATTTATTTTATCGAACATATTTTCTGGATTAAATAAGGCACATTTATCACACACATATAAAATACTAAAATATCATAACTTAGATACACACAATGCGATAACTAAAAATGGAATGTTCGTGGAGTGCCGAAGCGTGACTATTCGCGCAATCCTGTCCCATCGAATAATTTTGCGGTTGAAAAGTTGTCATATTCATTTTCGTATTATCGCGCTGTCTGGTTACACACTTGTAAGCTCTTCTTTTTTTACATTCACGTTATTTTTACACACTTATCATCACGTGGTGACACATCGCTGGTCAAGCACATCTTGAAGTCGAACACCTATTGATATTCTGCTTGAGCGTTTATTTTATGTTATTCACGTCAGCAGGACTTAGTGAGTCTCAAATCAAACATTTTACTTTAGGTACTGGATCTCTTCATTATGCTTCTTTCTATGCAAAAATACGACGACATTCCACGTGCAAAAATAGGCAGGAACGATGGCGACTGCTGAGTGTGTGTGGCCCGAAGGCCCACACACTTGTTAACACGACGTCAAGCAGCAAGAGGGGAAAGAGGAAAAGAGAGAAAGACAAACCAGTCCTTCCAGTTTTTATACCTTTCGACGCACGTGCTAGCGCATAATAACGATACAAGAATCGATGCAGCCACAGTGTACACTGTGAGACTTCTGTGTTCTCACACACTGTTAACTGCTTTTAAAGGAATGTGAGCCAGTGCAGAACATCAAGATTTAATTTTTATGTGAGATTTTGTTAATTTTTGGATCACTTTTTATAGTGGTTTACTTAACCTAAACTTTGCAATTCCTTTACTACTAGTGATTATAATGTACATTACAGTTCTTCATTTCTACAAAAGGAAAAGCTTTTTTAACAGTACAAACAACAAATACAAGATCAATTCCAAACAATTTTAGTGACCATGGTGTACTTTTTCACGCTTTCCAAAAATGTTTCTTTCTTTTCTTTTCATCTGTGAAAGTAATATATAACTGGCACTATATTTGTTATGTTATCAAAACTTCTCAATATCTTACATGGATACTATAAAGATGCCAAACAGCAATGGACATCCATTTGAAAGTTCCATCACCTAGCCCAAAGGGGCAATTTGCCCAGAAGGGCTATAAATTTTGTTTTGGCATTTTGTGTCGGTTCACTTTCCAAAATTGTTGCCACCAAATAATAGATCCCAACATTACATTTAAAGAAATTAAATAATGAAGAATCTGTGTGAATGTATGTATGTTTCTCACACTGTGAAAAAATAATGGTACCTAGAGACATCAAATTTTGAATGATGCAATCCTCCATTCGAATATGGGCATCAGGAAGCCAAAATTTGGAATCTGTTTTATTATCTTTTTCATATTTTGTCAAACATTAGAGAATTTTTGATTAATAAACTCAACTATTTCATAGCGAGCAATGTCAACACTGTGCGAAAAAAACATTTTTATCTCCAGCACACAAGACTGTGTATCGGAAATTCTACAGATGCACTCTTTTAAATACTTTGTCTTATTGCTTTTGAATTGCATTTCATGGTTTAAGTGTGAAGAACATGATATTTAACAAGTAAAGGTAATACACAAAACATTAAAAAACACCCCTTTGGGCTTAATATAAAACTGTAAACTTAACTTTTGGATTTTTCATAAAATTTTTTCTATTTTCTTTTAAATTAATCTTTATACTCTTGGCTCTAAATGGAAAATGTTTCAGGGTTATGTCATCATGGGAAAATACAGTGTAATTCAGAAAAATACTTTATGATAAAATTTTGCATGAAACTGAGTAAATCTGTTACTGACATGCTAAAAGCCTATCGGAATGGCTGTATGGTGAAATGGTATGGTGAAATTTGGTGAGTACTAGTAGTTTTGAGCTGAGTTTGATTCCAGGCTGCTTGAAAGTTTTTGTGGTTTTCCTTACATGTTACGTGGTTACAGACCAGCTTCCCTTAGAAAGTTATCCACCCTTTAAGAATGAGACTGTCAAAAACAAAAGCATGCAGGTGGCATAAGGTGTTCAAAGAAAGAAAGGGGATGCAAAAGATGAAAAACATTACAGGCACCCAGCAATGTTGAGAACTCCTGAAATTATAGTTAAAATGATATCTTTGATCAGTTTTTGAATGCTGTAATTATTGAGTCACATGTTTTTGTGAATAAGAGAATTTCTCGCCAATAAAAACATGACAGTGCTTCTCAACCTTGGTCCATCTGATTTCTTTGTATTCCAAGGCTAAAGACTGGTCTCAAAGGGGGTTTCAAGGTCTGCCCATTTTGGGACAACAGCGCTCTAATAAACTTTCCTGAGAAACAAGCTTCTCTCAGCACTAGTTTAAACAGGAGATTTCTAGGTGAAGCATTTTGGCTCAACCACGTGTTACAGGTATGTATGTACACTATGGGGTGTGTGTGTGTGGGGGGGGAAGGACAGTTCTATACCTCCTGTTTTACTGCGTCGATTGATGAAATTCAACTTGCGTTTTTCATGTCACGAAAGCGCGACTTAAAATATGTATTAGATTCATATATAGCATTGTTCTAATATAGATATTTTTTAAAAAAATAACATACCAATTTTTTTCCATATTTCGATTCTACGACTCAAATTATGCCAGATTGCCAAGTTTTGTAAAAATTGCACACATAGTTTTTAAAAAATTAGCTCTAAAAATTTTAGCTCCTCAATGTTAATTGAGTTTGGTATATCTTAATATCTCTCTTTTTTTTTATTAAACTTATTTAACTTATTTAATAAAAGAAACTCGATTCTTCCTTTGACATTTTCAAAATTTAGGTTCATTCCAAATTAAAATTTACCCATTTTTTTATAATTTATTTCATAAAATTTTTTAAATATAATTTTTATAAATTTGTCAAAAAAGTTCTGAATTAAAATCTATAAAATTTTTACCATCATCTTAAAATAGACGTCCTTCTAACCATACCTGCAAAAAATTATAATTTTTTATTCAAAATTTCCGAAGATTTATGTGAATTTATATATTGGTGCATTTTGAAATTTGGCATATTTGTTGAAAGCAATAAAACATCAAATGTGGTTTAGACACTTAGACACTTTGCTAAAATTATTTGGAAGTAGAATCGATGTGACTTTCCTCCTGCTCATTCACAATGTAAAAAGGTAAGAACGAGGTGCCTTTTCTTTTCCACTCTGGTATAATGGAAGGGAAAGGAAAATTGGTTGCCACATATTAAGAAGTTCGCCAAGTGAATTATTCTTGGCGCAAACTGGAAAAAAATTCGTCAAGATAAATTTTTGAATTTCTCCGTAAATTTCGCGCCAAATTTTACAAAATTTAATGTCTAGGCATAATTTGAGTTGTAGAATCGAAATATGGAAATAAATTGATATGTTATTTCAGAAAACGTCCGATTTTGTGTCAAAATACCTATGTTAGAACAATGCTATATATAAATCTAATATATATCGTAAGACGCTCTTTCGAGACATGAAAAACGCAATTTGCATTTTGTCAATCGGCCCAGTAGAACTGTCCCCCCCTTTTTTTTTGCACAGTGTATCTAGGGTATTTTACAATGCTGGTGAAAATGTTTCACTGTGCATGCTCTGTCTCAATATTTCTTGTATATTATTAGGTGCATATATACAGACAGACAGATATATAAAAACTATGTAACATATGTTCCAGATACACACCTACTATTTCAAACTACATTCTAAAATTTTTAGATTCGCCTTATAACCATGCACCCTTTTCTTTATGGAGAAACTTGAAAGATACATGTGCAATGCTCTAATCTTTCGAAGTCATTCATTCATTCGAAGATTTTTCCCAGGCTTTCGAATGTAGAAGGTAGGATTAATGTATTTCTTTGCATTAGTCAACCAACCAATCAGATTTGTTAGAAGTGAAGAAGTGTTAGTATCTCTAGAATAAAAATTTGATGCTTGAGGATCCCATCTTGAAAAGCATTAAGTGAATCTGAACCTATTAGTAATGAAATTATTTTTCCAGAATTAGTCTAATTTGTTTTGGGACTAATCCGCGTAACATAATTACTAAGAAAACTTGAGAAATTTTATACAATATTTATTTTACAAATTCTACAATATGAGTCAACTAAGAGAAGTGTCATTATAATCGATAAGAGTAAGGGCTCTGAGATTTTCGAGAAAGTCATATAAATTAAATGTTTTTGCTTCATGTAAAAGCAGATTTTCATTTACATTTTTTGTGATTTCTTCACTGCCTGTTTCAGATTTTATTGGAAGCATCTCGATCTAAAAACAGACAAGAAATATTATCATTTAGGCATTTTAAAGATGTAATTTGTTATGCAAAAACAAATTACATTTGCTCATCATTAATTTTGTAAAATTATAAATTATTTTACTCAGACATAGACATTTTAAACATAGAACGACAGTATTAAAATATCTAAAATTACTTACATTTTCATCAGGTAAAGTTATTATATCAGATGCATATGGCACATTTCTCACCAAATCTAGGATAATTTTATGTTGATGAGCTCGGGATTTTTGAATTCTCACACTCAGCTGAAATTAGAAGAATAAAGAGAAAAGAGAGAGAAAAATCACTAAAAATAAATAAATAAATAAAATAAAAATAAAAGCATCTGAATTATATATATAAATTATGCAACAAATTATTTTTAAACATAAATTCTATTATTATCCTTCATAAAATGAGATGAAAAGTTCTAAAATTAAATATATATATATCAAGCTAGAAAAATAACAAATGATTTTTAAAATTTGTAGTGATAATATTTTTATAGGTGATGTAAATAACTGGAAAAGCATAAGAATGCCCAATGGTATATTTGTATTGTATTTTAAATGTTATATTGTTATAACATATTACCTATTTATCAAACTGAACTTTGAATGTTTGATACTTTATACAATGCTGGACTTTCAGATTCCTACACCATGAAGGAAATGTACAACAAACCTAAAATTTGCACGAAAGGTTTGCAAAAAGACTAGCATATGCAAATAATTAGCATTTCACAGCATATTAACATAGGCAAGAGTGATGACACCTTGAAGCAGTATAAAAAGGCAGACTGAAATGCTGATTTTTCTTTTTGATTGTATTTACTGATTGTTTTATGTGTTGGAGGTCATATATAATAAAAAAAGAATTCATACCAGCATGTTTTGAGTTCATTAGTGAAGAATCATAGCTTGCTGAAACTGTGGTTTATTGCACTGCACAGATGCTGCTCACATGTCAAAATTCAGTGACTACTATAACTTAAATTGATTTCATATAAGTGAAATGGAAAAATGGCTTAGTAACAGTCAAGCTGTGGCATCCAACAAACTAAGAGGATGCAGTAAGTGATCTGTTAAATGACAATGCCGTACCTTACTTAAGAATCATCTTGAAAAAAAGGTAGAGCATTTTAGACACATTCTTAAAATATGGACCTCCCAAGAAACCAAAGGCAGATATGCAAGAGGAAAAAGCTGAGTTGACTTTTCTGTTTTCAATGGAAGAATGGGAAAATTCATTCTAAACTGAATTAAAAACTGTAAATACATTCATTAGTATTGTAAATATTTATGTTAGTTGTTCATAACTTAGTTTTTATATATTTTGTAGTGTTGTGTATTGTTTAATTTATTTATTTATTCTGTTTGTATGGTAATTTTATATTTCTTTATTACATAGTTAATTTTAGAATTTGTGACAACTGCTTAGGTTTATATGTGCATATTTGATATATTATGTAGGTCTTTCAATTTTGAATCAAACGAATTTGAATCCAGGCAAAAACATGCTCCCATGAGCTACATAAATATGAGTCCATTTTTCTTAGAAAGTCCTCCACGAAGGCATACATCTTCTTAGGCAGATACCCATTTTTATGCTTTGTCAATATTAAAATAAACTAATCTAACCTAATTCTGAATTAAATGACATTTCAATTATAATAACAGCTCAGGTAAAACAAGAGATACAAGCAAAAATCGTTTTTTTGAGCTTTGCCAACATTTAAAAAGTTACTGGAAAGCACATTTTCGAGCTTTAGGAATAATTTTTTATGAAACTTCCAAAAGTGCATACTATTCCCTTCACGCAAACATATAAATAGGATGTTGTGAATGTACAGATTTCAAAGATGTCCAGATCCAAATTTCAGAGTCTGTAATTGTGTTGCTAGAGAGCATCATGTTTGGTGATTACTGGTTTTTACACTTTGTTTTGTAAGTGATTTTGATGATTTGTAATATTGTGTAGCAAAAAGATATCTAAACAATACTAAGTATTTCTAATAAAACATCCTTTAAATCATAGACAACAAAGTTAAAAATTCTTTTAACTGCCATCTTTAAAATTTTATTAAAAACAAAATCATGAGCAAGGATTTTGACAATTTATCATATTGCCTTCAAAGACTGTTCTGAATGGCAGTTAAACATGATTGCTTGGCTGCCCATTTGAACACGATTGAAATTTTTGATAGCCTTGAATGTCCCCTCTGCAATTCCAGCTTCATGGATAATGATGACCTTCTTTGTCTTGCTCTAACAAATGCTTATTTAACTGTAACAAATGCATAACAGACAGCGATTCGGTCATTATTGAAAGGCGTAAAATTACATTAAAATATATAAAATTAAAATATCTAATAAAATCTATTCATGGAATCTTAGCATTATCAAGGGATTTTGCCTAAGCTGTAGATTTCCTGGAAGGGGCCCTTCTACATGATCGAGAACCTGAATGAACATATTCACTTCTAAACCTAAAGTAAAGTGTTTTTTCATAAACTTCTGTTCATTAAGATGATATTGACATCATCAAAGAAAGTAAAATAGCGAAATATTTTAAATTATAAACTAATATATACCAAGAGATACATTTGAAATGAAAAAAGTTGTTCTTTACTCGTCCCCCCTAAAAAAACTGTTTTACACATAACAGAACGTTTGTAATTTGCACTTTCAGACGATAAACGATGCATATGTATGTGTATGAGTAGAATATCACTGCTATTGCTAGAAAGGCTGTGAAGCCATTATATATAACTCTTTAGAAGAGGCTATCAAAAATTTCAGTTTGCATTGAAACTTACTAGCATGTTATGCATTCAGGTCATGTCTGATAAAATGATATCCAATTTTAAGGCTAGTTTAGGACCTTCTTTTTATTAAATCTGTCTTTAGAATTGAATCATTTTCTTCATTATAACTGTATTCTGTGGAATCAGGAGTCTTAAAGACAACCTCTAATATTTCATCTTAGATAAAGGCTTTATTGACTAATACTTTATTAATATCTTCACACAACAGATCCTTAAATCCTTCTCCAATTATGTTTGCCATAATAATAATGCTGGGAAATTTGGCCATTTTAAAAATTACGAGATCTTTGTTTGCTTTTTACACATCATGACCAAACCACTTTCCAACATGCATTTACAGTTTAATTGTTAATGCTACTTCAGCTTGATTAATACAATATAGAATGGACAGTTTTTTTCCACATATCAATCACATTTAGTGTTTGATTATTTAATATGCCCAAAACGTATTGATGTGTTTTGCGTAGTGTGTTTTAAATGCTGCAATTATACCTTGGTCTAACAGTTATAACAAAAAAGTAGTATTAGTTGGCAAAAAAATATAATTTTTACATTTTGGTGTTCCAAGACAGGATGGTCAGGTGCTCTGTCAATAATCAGAACCTTTCAATTCAAGATCTTTTACATTTATATAACACCTAAATTCTGGAATGAAACATTTTTTTGAACCATTCTGTAAAGATAGCAGTGGTCACCCAGGTCTTATTTGGGCAGGATCTTGTTTGCCATACAGTAAACAAGCAGTTTATCGCTACCTATTCCTTTCATTGACCATGAGTTTAGAGCTTGATTTACAAGTAATGGTTTCAACATATGATCTCCAAAGGTGTTGGAGCAAAATAATAAGGTCACACAGTTTTTAGCTACCTTAAAACCACCAGCAGTTTTTTGCAATTTGGCTATGAACATTCTGCTCGGCTGTATGTTCTCTTCAGCTATCTACATTGTGTTCAGTTTGTTTCCAAAAGAGATAATTTTCATCTACATTCTAGACTTGATTAAGAGTTTATCCTCCAACTAATTTTAGCAAGTTTCTGCAAGAATACCTTAGCAGTCAATTCATCTGCATATGAAGTTTTATTTACAATTTGAATAATAAGAAGAGCATCTCTTTTTCGAAACCTGTCATCAAATCTATTACTTGTAGAAAATTCATACTTTTTATTTAACTGAGATGGAAGTACTTGGCTCCTTTTCTTTAATATGTCTATAAATTTTTAGTGCTATTTACTTGATGACATTTCTATCTACTAGGACTCCTCTTTGTGACTTGTCTTCTCCATATTACTAGAGATTTTGTCTCTTTTTTTTCCTTGACAATATCTCTTGTACATTTTGATGAATTTAACACTTACTTTTATTCCAGTACATTCAGACTTTCTAATTGCAGCTTCCTTTTTCTTAACAGTTCATACAATAGCTTCATGTACATCCAAATTTTCTCCTACAGATATAGCACATTGTGTAGTTGCTAAGCAATCTAAAATTTGAATTTTTGGTTCCAAAGAAATCACTTTCCATTTCATTTTGGGAACAGGTGAATAATGCGACATTATGTAAGGGATAGCAAAAATATCTCACTAATAAAAAAGATATGAAAAATTTGTAAACCTACAATTTATTAATTTTTGGCAAAATTAATAAATTTACCTTTGCACAAATTTAATTAAAGATTTTTTCCACTTTGGAATAGAGATACATACATACTAAATATCTTACGAAGATACAAAACTTTAATTTTAATTCCAAATAAACACACCTTAGAAACAAAGAAACAACTACTACATTTAGTCACATGACTTACTACCCATCATGGGGAGATGTTTCATTCTCATCCATTATGATCCATTATGATTCATTCTCATCCATTTAGTTATGAAAATGTTTTAAATGAAGCAAATATTTATATTACAATATTTTTAAAAAATCAGTTTTGTAAAAGTTATGAAATCTAATTTTTTTTTATATCTCTGCTTGATATAGTTACATTTAGTAAAGTTTATGCTCATTGTTAAGGAACAAAACAGAAACGTTTGAGTCCCATATGATAGACACGCATATTCAATTTCAGATGATTTTTTTTTTGGAGGGGGTTAGTTTTTGAATTGTAAAACTGTTTTCTTCAAAGCACAGGTTAAAACATAAATTACAATAATCTGAGGTTGATTTATTCCCACATTAAATGTCATTCAGTGATACTCCTTTTTAATTTACTAGTGCATAATATTTTCTAACTTGTTATTTTATTACATGTAACATGGCAATAACACTTTCATACAAAGATTAATTTATAGTGTTCAAATGCTAAAAATAGATTAATAATATTCAAAAGCAGTTTTATTATTTTAGAATCATGATTTAATTTACGCACACAAAAAAATTCAATGGACTAGAAACATTTAAAGTTTTAAATTTATGTGAACAGTGTTACAATTTGGC